TCTGTCTTTTCTCCTAGGCTGCCAGCTCCATGAACTCAAGAGTTTTGGCTCTTGCCTTCATTCTTAGATCCTTAGCATGTTGCCTGCAGCAGAGCAAGGGATAAATTACTTTTCATATAAATGATTAAATATACAAATGTATGCTTGATTCACAAACATATGATTGCATGCAGAATGCCTGAATACATATATAGACTTTAGAATCTGTCTACCGTGAGGATACCATTCAATATTCAAATCTCTAAATGACAATGCTTCAACAGCCCAAGAATTTTTTTTTTTTTTTGCTTTCTTTCTGGGATTGGGTCAGTACTATGTGTTCTGGGAGAGTGGGTTTTCTGAGGGCACTCCTCCTTGCTCAGTTCCTATTTTTAGGGTTCTCAGTAAACTCTGGGGAGACAGTCTAAAATCCATGGATGGCCACTAGGGGTATAACACGTACCTAATCCAGTCATCTAGGTGATTTAGGGGAACACATGGTTTACGTCACTGGATGTGGAAGAAGCCACCATGATCGTGGACAACCACGGAAGGACTAAGACATACGTGTGCTAAACTTCTATGGCAGATGGCTTCTCAGCATAAGGCATGTTGTAACTCTATAGGGTGATCAAAGTCAGTGGACATATATTTGTCCTTCAGGCAAAATGGTACTTGTCCCAGAGGGTAATTTCATTCTGATCCATCTTGAGAAGAATACCTGGGGGAATATTTGAGTGTCTGTATGACAAAATGACTGAAGGTGGTGGCCAGAAGTCCAGGAGGACTCTTGACAAGGTCAGAAACTAGAGGGACTAGAGATCAGTGAAGATCAGGACACAGAAAGGGATGGGGCCAAAGTCCATCTGAGAGACCAGACAGAGAAAAAACTAGAGCAATCATCTGAATATGGAATTCAGAGAATGAGAAAGTAGAGAGATTCAGAGAAGGTTCTAGTGAGACCTGGGTAGAAACGATTTTATACAAGTGTTTAAAATCAGTTAGAAAAGTCTCTCATTTAATACATGTTCTACATTTTTCTTACCCAAACTGAAAATAACCCATTTAAATAGAGCAATTGGTTTTATTTGATGGCTATGGTGCATTATTTCAACAATGATCTATCTCATTTTTAAACAGCACAACTGAATTTAAGATGGCACTGTTTTCAGTGATTTTCGTGAACTACTCCCATGGGAAGCAAGCCAGGCTCCTCAGACCCCAGCCCGTACCCAGGTTCCTACAGCTTCCTGGCAGCAGCATGCCCGCATTAAATATCATTAGGCAACGTAAGGAGTGTTAGCCCTGCAAAATCAGCCTTGTAAAGTGGAACGAGCATGACAGAGAAATAAACTCTCCATTTGTGATCCAAAAATAGCACAGACCAGACTCTGGGCTCAGGTAGGTCTCATGGTTCATGGTAGGTAACCTAAACAATCACAAGACCTCTTGGTCATGGATTTTATGACACAGGCAGGCAATAGCAAACGCCATGTGTAATTGGAGTGACTGCAGTAAGAGAACTCAGCTTAGCAGCCGTAAAAACAACAAAGAATAAAGGAAAATTTCCTGTTAGCTTGTCTTTGCTTGCTTTACTATACATAGAGAGATGATTAGCATGCTTCTAAAATGTTTTGGTCTACTGGAAACCTATACAATAAAGTGTGTATAGCATATGTATAAATATACACCATACATACATATGTATACAAATAAATACATTTCTATGTGTGTGTGTGGTGGGGGGAGCTGTATGTACAGAGTCTTTCTGACATAACTTGCGAGCAACAATGTTGATCAGTGTTAACACTGTTTATCTCTGGGGAGTGGGACTTGGGTCTCTATAGGAGCACAGAGGAAACCTTGCCCTTGCCCGTGATTCTCATCTGTGCTATTAGAACTTTTTTTTTCCTATAAAAAGCATGTTCTACCTTTATGGTTAAAAAATCTATATATTTGAAATAAAATTGACATGTAAAAAAAATAAAACTGCTGCCTCACATTATTATAAAACCTGGATATTATGAGAAGTCTAGGAAATGAATGTCAGAAATCCTTTAGGCAAAGAAACGGTTACAAGGTCCAAATGCAAACTGCTTGTATCTCCCAATACCAACAGGTCTGCTTATGTGCTAAGGCCAGCCACCATGGCTGGCTAGGGAGCCAGGGCTTGTGTGGGGGCTTTCCATCAGCAGTCATTAAGGTCATGGCCATGCAGTTGCCAGCTAATTTCTCTTTAGAAGTTGCATGGGTTTTAGGTTATAGCCTCCATAAAGGTAACTAGAACTCTCAAAGTGAAATTTGTGGCCATGGTGTTTATTTCCTTCTTGGCTTCTTTTGTTGTGGCTGTTGTTTGTTTTGTTTTCTATCAGTCCTTGAATGTGATAAAGTACAGCTTTACTGGGGGAGGCTGGGTTCTAAACCAGGTTCTATTCCATTAAATGTGTACTTCTGGAATACGTGGTTCTGAAAATAACGACCTGAAAGTTCTCTCCTGTTGTCTTGAAGTAACTTTCCATTTCTCATACTCCTCCCTATCAACTGAAACCCACAAATGGAAGCCCCGAGCAGATAGCATCAGCCCACGAAGGGCTCTTCAGAGCCAAGCACAGAGGACGATGGGCAGCTAAGCCAGCCATGCTCCAGCACTGTCCTGAGAGGGTTTGTGGAAAATGGTATTCCTGTAAGTATACAGTTTTATGTCCTTTAAATATTTGTGGGTTTCCAGATACAGACCAGGGCCAGACCACTGGTTTCTGCCCTTTCTGATGGCCCACTAAAGGAGATACTATATGCTTGAGCTGAGCTGGAAACTCCTGGAGCATATGGCCCCAGCTCCTTCTGAAGGCCAGGACTTTAAAAATGCTACAGGAGGTAGGTTTAATATTGAATCCATTAACTATGTAACCGTTCTGTTCATTTTTGATGTTCTTTTGTTGGAAAACCCAATTCCTGAGAGTCTTTGCTTTTTCAAAAAGATATTTGCCTTGGCTGTACATAGTTTCCCATCCATAATGCAGAACTCTTTTGTGGGGGAGAACTTGGAGTGATTTCCAAATGTATAAGAACCCCTAGAGTAGTCATTACTTTATCTATTTTCATACCAGGAATTTACTGTGACTTCAGTTGGACCTATTTAAACTGGCCTGTAGCCATCTATACCCTAAATTCTCTCTGGGATGCTTTGAAACATCACAAAGAAATAGGAGATGGTAGTTGGTGAAAATAACCCTTCATCCCAGAGATGGCATCTGGGTAACCAACTGTGTGGCCAACTATTTGGCTCAATCTAGGGAATGGAAGGCAGCATTCAAAGCCAGACTCCAGTCTGTTTCAAGGACTGTATTTCTGTCATCACCACCTCTCTTTGACAGTCCTACCAAACTGAAAAACTCCCAGATGAAGCCCAGGGATTAAATTCTCCTGGAGCCTATTTTTTTCCAGTTTCTGGAAACAATCTACTGCCATCCTCCTTACCTCACCATAAAACCCAACAGATAATTCCATCTCAAAGACTGATAGATGGAAATTACTCATAACTAATCTATGCTTCCACAGCTAGAAATAACACCAACAATTTGGTTTTGAAACAGCTAAAGAGATCCTTTATCCCCATCCCCAGAGAAGCTATTCCTCCTTAAGACAGTTATCCTATCTGTCCTCTCAAAATGATATATATGACCAAAATGCGATTCAGGTAAGCAACGTGTCACCACTGGACCTTTAAAGTGAATGCAGAAATAGAATCATTTATATGTTCACATGCAGAGACACTAGGAAAACACTTTGCTTGTGTCTAAGAACAAAATGGAAGAAAGCTCAGAAGACAGCAGCTTTAGTCTGAAACAACCCTGGATCACCCACTTTCATTTCTGACTTCTGCCCAAGTCAAGTAGACATCTTCACTGAAAGTTAGGATCCCTTTCCTCCTGCTCTTGTAGTTATCACAGAGTCTCTAATAGAGGGACCTGTAAGTACCAAGTGATCTGTGGTGGGATTCAAAGTTGTAATTCCAACGTCAGAAGACACATTTCTGGTTAGGGCTCCCACAGTGGGTTTCTACTAAGAATTTCCTGGTAGGGGGAAACAGAGAAAAGAATAAATTAGACTACCCCGTATGTAAGAAATGGGGTTGCAGTGCCATCAGGCATGACCTTGGGACCTGACAAGTAAAAGGTGAAGCGTCCAATGGGAAGAACCAGCCATCCTGGAAATCCGGCAGTGGAACTCATAAAACAAGGCTTTGTCCTTGGGATAAGGCTTACTCGGGGTAATGAAAACCAAACACTCAGAAGGAAAACCTAAAATGGGACCCCTCTCACCACTACACCCAAGAGTCTCTACTTATTAGCCTCCATGCAACACGCCAGTGACTGTGTTCTTGCTTAAGTGAGTTATTTTGACATATGTTGCTACTTTTGCATTGGCTGTTTTATTTCAAGTCAATTAGCCTGCTTTCTATTATCACTCGAGAAAGTCTAGAAGCAAACGCTGTCACAGTGCTCCATTTCCTGTAACCACAGTCACCACACATGGTTTTCTGCTCAGCAACTTCAACAGCACTTAAAATCCAGTGATTCCGCCAAACCAGCCGTGGGCCTTCATTTAATCCTTTGCTCGTCTCTATCACAGCAAAAGGCAAAGATGGCTACACGTAGGCAGTATGGGGTTGTGCAAACAGCCCAAGCTGAACCAGTCCTTCGTGGCTATCAGCAACAGCCCCGCAGCCAGGGCCGGCCCCCAGGTTCCCTCCCATGCCACCTCACCATACCTCAGAGATATAGCACACAGGTTGACATTATCCATGTGGCACATCCCAGCTCCTACAGAATGACAAGGGATGAGGAAGGGAGGGGGAGACATGCAAAGAGTCACTAATAGTCTTGGTATATTTCATCTTGGAAACGGGAGCAGCTTTACAGTTGCGTTTTTGCAGGACATCCAGAGGGCTTTCAGAGACCTCCAGAGTGTCTTGTGGTCTTCAGAGACTGAGTGTAAAGACAGCAGATCATATATATTTTTTTTTTGAATGGTGGGTAGTTGCAGTAGAATTGTGTGGTACAGAGGAATCGTGAATGCATGGGGGAGGAGGGAGCGGTGCCATTTGTACGAACATCCTGTGAATCTCGAAAATAAATTATACAGGTGAACACAGCAGTTCATGCTACTTGCTGGAAGCAATAAGGATCAAATTTTGTGGAATGTGTATTCCACAAATCTCCAGGTATCCTGCCTCTTCCTCAGTGGGCTATCGTGTTCTGTTGTATGTCTGGTAGCCCTTAACAACTGGTGGCATGGTCTCAGATAGATTCTTGCAGAGAAAGACATCTTTGTGGATTCCAACAGCTTCTTCCAGGGGAGCTGCCCAATTGCCGGGAGGGCACAGGTGATACACTTGCTCAGGTTCTCTTTGCGATCTACCAGCGTCAAACAGCAGTTTCCAGGTCCTCATGGCCAATGATCTTATAGTTCTGGCGGCTTTCTAGGTAAGCAGCCAAATCTGGGTCTCCAGCCTGCTGGGCTCTGTCTTGAGGTGTCTTACCCTAAAGGTGACAATGGGAAGGAAAGAGACATAAATACTTGGAATGAGATTTTTTTTTTTTAAATCAAAGAGGTGTTCAAGTTTACTCACTAAAGGATTTTTCCATGCTTATGGTTTTAGAGTTGACAAGACACTTTCAAATCTATTCCCACATTAAACACATGAGGTAGGTAAGTTCAAGAGAAAGGCAAGATCACTTGACAGGTGGGGCTTACATCTGAGGAAAGTGGGGTTCAGAGAAACTGAGTCTACAGCAGGAAATGGTGTGGCACCCTGAGTCTGAGAACCCCAATTCTTTCTGGGAGAAGGGCAAGAGAAATCACTGAACAGAAAAGTAGGAAGTAGGCATTTGGACTTCTGATGCCAGACGCTTCCATGATGCTAAACCCTGGGAAGCAGCAAGCAGACAATGAGAGGACCGGATCCTTGTAAATGATCTAAAAATGTTTCTTTGCTGGTTTCAAAGTCTTCAGTTAAGTTTTCCAATTCAGAATATCTCATCTCTCCAAAAAGAGAGTCAATTTTGGACTATAAAAGTGATAAATGTTGATTAAATAAACTTGGAAAAGCATAAAATTGTGAGGAAGAAAATAAAAATCACCATTAATTCCTATACTACACTAAGATAACTAACTGCCGTTAACCTTCCACAGAGTAGCCAATTTGTCTTTTTCTATGGCTCTACACAGAAAATTTTTATAAACAGAAAACCATACTATGGGATACCTGGGTGGCTCAATCAGTTAAACATCTGTCTCTTGATTTCAGCTCAGGTCATGATCTCAGAGCTCTGAGATCAAGCCCCGCGTTGGGCTCCATGCTGAGTGCAGAGTCTGCTTAAGATTCTCTCTTTTCTTCTCCCTCTGCCCCTCCCCCCTTGCACCTTTTCTCTCAAAAAAAAAAAAAAAAAGTTAAAAAAAAACCCATACTCTGTTTATATCCTATTATATAACATACTTTTTTCACTTTATTAAGCGATTTGATATATTTATCAAAAATTTATGTCATGCAATGTTCTTCTACATCATCTTAAATGATTGTATCATTTCTTGCAGCCTACTCTAATGCTGTATGTATATTTATACACACACATGATATTTCTGGAAGGAGGTCAACAGATAGAATTCAGTAGTAGAAGGAAGGAAGGTCTCCATTCTTTTGCATGCATATAGGTATTACCGAACACTCCCTGAATCTTCTAATTTTTGTTCAGTGATATGCTTTATCTATTTAAAAAGTGATATTAAATTCAAAAAGATGGAGGCATGGTCATTGTACCGAAGAAACAGCTCCATGTATAAGTGCACACTAGTATTACCAAAATTACTGCAGGCTTCTCAGCCTTCATCTGAGTCACTACAATGGCAAGTGTCAAGCTCAATTAAGCCTGTTCCCTGTAGCTTACAAGGGTAAGTGGGTAGAGGATAAAAGGAAAGTAACGGTAGCTCTGGATTCTTTCTAAAATTTTACTTATTTATCTGGCATTTAATATTGAACTGCTAGCTTAAAGTTCCTACAGTAAGTTTTTCCATCTTGCTTACAGTATTAATAGACTATCCGGTCTTCAATATTAATGAAGTTGGAATTACTACCTTCCAAGTATTCAGAGAGGTGAACCGAGGTGGCCCTTGAGTTGGTTTTTAAAGGAACTATTCCGCATCAAGGGGAATTCTTAAGACATTGCTTCTCTCCAAAAAGAAAAAAAAAATCTAGGAAAAGATCCAGTCATAATTATCATGTTCTGCTTAACTTAGCATAAAATTACAAAATGGAAAAATTAACAGATCTCCCGAAAGGATGAAGCATAGACTATTTCATATGGTAAGACTTCTAGAACACAATGTTGGGGGACATAAGCATTCTACAATAGCATGAAAAAACAGTACGACTTCACTGACTTAAAAAAAAAATGAGAGAGAAAAACAGGCATACCTACATGTGAAGAGAGATCATTAAAATTTTAATAGTACATAGGTCGTAGAGTGTGAGATTTCTCATGATTTTAATCTTTTTAGATATTCTTTGCATTGCTAGAGTTTTCTACATAAGATGCACTATATTTATAATCATAAAAATAAGGAAGCGGTGTTTTGGAAAAAAGCACACACACACTCAACAAAAGAGAACACAATCTCAAGGAATGTGGAGCCCATTTATCTAATTCGGAAACTTAGAAAGATAAACAAGACGAGTCTGCTCAGGGGCCTGGTGTCTTGCCCAGGCTTTTGTGTCTTTCCCATTGTTTCTCTTTTCCTTTGATTTTCTGAGGTAAGAGCAGTCCTTTGCATGGTTAAGTAGGCAACTGCCGCCCTGTAAGGTGAGTTGGACCAGACAAGCCAAACCTACCCGAAACCGAGGCCTCCCCGGTCCTGCCTAGAGGGTTGGTGTTTCTCCATCGGGTTACATGACGAAGAGTTTAAGGGCAAATATCATCTGGGAAGAATATCCCACGGAGCCCTTAGCTGCTCCTCGGTTTCAAATGACCCTACACCCACTTAGCTAACCAGACAGGTAACAGACACAGCTTAGCATGTCCGACAGCCCTAGCAAGGAACCCAGGCAGCCAGGGACCTCCCTTGGAGAGCAGGGATCTGGTGGGCTGCAGGGAGAATGGAGAATCAGGCAGTGCTGCTGGCTCAGAACTGGGTTCGAAGGAAAAGAGGTCCATGCGGGAGACAAAGTTATTTTATGGCGTTCACTGCAGTTATAGGACACCCTGGGGGAAAGTGGACCAAAGCAGGTGCTCGTCGCTTCAAGAGGTCTCTTGGGGCTCAAGTCCTATAAGGAACAGGTCTGTGTTCCTTGGCTACATTCATCGGCTCCAAACTTAGGTTATGTACTGCCTTAGCTTAATGAAACCCTCATCTTTATGTTAAAATTCTTCTCTGCAACTCTCTACAGTTAAACGGTTTGTCCTTTCTTCGCGTCTACCCAGGATGGTTTCTCAGAGCTGCTCGGGCTCCTCTGCGGTACCGATGTTCTGTATTAACCGTCCCCCCCCCCCCCCCCCCCCCCCTCTTCTCCTGGGCTACAGTCCTGGGGCTGCACCACTGAGTTCTACCTCCTCCTCTGCTCCAGCTTCCAGGCCTTTCCTTGGTGCTTTCTGTAAAAGAACGACTCCTGGTGCAGCCTAATCTCAGGTCTCCTGAGTGGAGTTTCTCCTGACACCTGACCTCTACCTGTGGGCATCTTTCCCCTCAAGGTCGGCATGTAGGTCACGCTATCAGTTTCTGGCCTCACTGCCCTCAAGATATGAACACACTTTAAATCCAGACTGACATGCCTTTTGCTGCAGGGAAACCAACCATGCTTCAGGTCCCGATGCCAGAGGACCACTGTAAGGCAAAGACATTACACAAACCAGGGGAGAAAACCCCACTTTATTACTTTGTCGCTTCCTCCATCCCATTGGATCCGGGGAGTCTTCTGTCCCCACGTGAGAATGACTCATCTGCTGGGCTACGGCTCAAAAGAGCCGAGTTTGGCTTCAGGCTCAGCTCCTGGTCTCAGGGCACAGAGCTCTCTTTTGGTTTCAATTTCCACATCGATGAAATTCCCACCCTAACTTCAGGGGTTAACTTTTAGGGAAAAATATATGAAAATAAGTAGGAAGAAACTTTTAAAAATAAAAAGCCAACATAAAGGCACTAGATTTAAGGCAGTAACACTCTCTCTGGCTGACCATCCTGACAGAGACAGCTAATGACCTGGGCACCCAGACGCGGGGCCACAGAAATCACAGACTGGAAGCTACTCTAGATAAAGTCGCTGAAGGAGAAATTCCAAAGCAGGCTGATGTCTTCTACCCCTCTCCCAGGGCTTTGAACCTCACCTCCCCGCAACTTGGCTGCTGGCCGGGGGCAGGACAACCCCAAAGTCCCAAGGCCAGCACATTCAGAGGTTTATAAAGTCCCATAGGCAAGCACACACCCTTCCCTTTGTGCTTATACATTTAAACTACAGTTTCTCTAAATGAAGCACTTTATTTTTTCCTCCTTTTTTCCAAAGCCCCAGGCACTTCCATAAGCACAGAAAGGATGCCTTTGCTGCGGGCACAAGTGAAGGCGATGGGGCCAGCGATCGTGCCCAGCGGGAGGATGTTTGCCCTCACTCCTCAAGTTACCTTGGAGTCCGTCTTTCTCAGAGATGCTCCCGCGTCCACCAGAAGCTGGCACACAGCCCGGTTCCGCTGGCAGGCAGCCTTGTGCAGTGCGGTCTCACCCCTAAATCAAAGATGAAATGGGAAACCACCCATAAAGGAGTTGGGGGCGGGGGTGGGAGTGGGGGAGGAGGCGGCAGGGAGGGGGTGAGGGTAGCTTCCTATCCCTGCTGCTGGGGTTCTGTGCTCGTCCGCCTCCTTCCCTATCCGCAGCGGAGACCAGGGGCTGGGCGCCTTCGGGGGAGGTGGGTGAGGGGGTGTCTAAAAATGCCTTCAGTCATCAACGAACCATAATTATCTGACACCAGTCGCTTGTCTCCACAGTGTTAACTAGGCTGAGTGATTTTGTTTTCAACCACTAGCGTTGGATTTAGGTGACACCCAGTGGCACTGCTGAACACACTGATGCGGGCGACGGGCGACGGGGCCTAGCCCCATGAAACAATGTCCTCTGTGGATACGTTCAGGCAGAACATAGGGGCACCAGATCAGGGACATATGGGGCAGGCATGGGAGACAAGAGGCCTTTCCAGCAGCTCAACGCAGGGCTTGGCAGTCCATCATCTGGCCCTCGGTGGAGTGTCTGGGGGACTTGGCGTGGAAGGACCAGGTCAACACAAGCCACCCAACCTACTGATGCCAAGTGAATGGCAGGTGGGAGGGCATGGGCCACGACAGAGGACGTCTGGGAGAGCTGGGAACATGAGCTCTCCCCTGTTGGCCGTAGGCCCCTCAGTATAGGAAGATGGCAAAGCTAAGTAGCCATTTCTACCCCCTCTATGGGGCAGTCCAGGGAGGAGGAGATTTCCATTCTGAGTCCAATACTGAAAAGATGTTTAAGGCCAAAGCGTATGGAAAATCAAATGCAGTCCTTAGAACAAATGCATAAGTGACAACCTTGCCAATAGGTTGGGGTGTGTGGACAAAGTCTCTGTCACAACGGATGGTGTCCTCCCTTTCTAGTCAGTCATAACCATAGAAGACTATTCTTCCCACTCAGCTTCCATCCTACTCTTTTCTCCTTTTCCTCCTCCAGACTTACTGAGCTCCTCCCCACCCATTTTTATCTATTTTCAAGTGTCTTTGAAATTTTATAGTGCTTTCTATATGGCTTTCGGGGTGAGATGGTTAGCTTTCTTTGTTCCTACTTGGGAAGGAGGAGCTATTTTGCTTCCCTAGAAATAAAAAAAGGTGCAAACAAACATCATGAGTTTGAGGACCACCCCAGAGAGGATGATCTTCTCAACGAGAGTTTCTCATCTGAACTACAGAACATAAAAATGGTTGGAATGACTATATTCTAATTCTCCAATGGTTGCATACACCTTGCTGCATTCCAGACCCGGTATAGGTTTCACTACAAAGCACGCCGTAGGGGATTAGGACATAATTTTTTCACAAACCCCAGCTGAGAAAGAGTAAATTAAAAAGGTAAATGTATTTATTTAGACTTCTCAGTAGTCTATGATGCACCGTGCAAAACTACCTTGCCCGTAGAAAGCGCTAAATGATGAACAGCAATGACTATGCATGCGATCGTTATGATTCGTGTTCTCAATTTTTATTGTGTAATTCTTGATTTAGAAGATTAGCCCTACATGGTTATAAATACAATGGAAAGTGAACTTCTTACCACTGACATTTAAATTATCTGTTGTAGGCTCTATAGACTACCTTCTTCTCTAAATACTCTCTGAAGAAAATAATCTAGACTATGTAATAAAGGCAACACTCACGTTTCGCTGTCTGCCATGTCCAATAACTCAGAAGGTCCTAAAGAAGAGGAAAGGAAGATGCCATCAAAAATAAATTCAGAAACTAACCATTAACAAAAAAATCTATAGTCACAGAATTAAAACACCTTGTAAAGGTGAAGTAGAGTCACTAGGTGGAAGGGATAATAAGACCACATCTCCCGCTCCGCCCCCCGAAAAGACAGGCTTTCTCTATTCCCACTCACCAACTTCCCAACTGCCACCGACCAGTATGCATGGGATGATACAGGCTGTGCTTTTAAAACAGCTTTCAATCAGGTTGAAGAAATAAAATCCATCAGAATAGAATAAGTGAGAAATAACTAAGTGGTTACCTTGGGAGAACAGGGACACTTTGGTGGGCTTAAGGATTATCATTCCCCAGCAGCAGATTGTTTGAGATGGGCTTTTATACAGTATGATTTTAAAGCTATAAGATACCACAGATATCATTCAGTCCAATATCTATCTTCTAGAAACAGAGTAAAATTATATTTTTCATAAAATTTCCCTTCAAAGACCTAGAAGAAATGTTATGTATAAACACCAAATGGTCATAGATGCTTCCTTAGGAACGGAAAGGTCCAGTGGGTGTGTGCACTGATGATATCCTATTTGTTCAACAATTAAATCATTCAACCTGCCAACAATGCTTGGAATGACCACCTCTCTACCTTCTGCACCACTGCTGCCCTCCCCAGCCCTCCTGTACTCTAATCAGGCTGCGGTATCAGCTGAGACACATTTCCCATAAAGCCCTGTACAACCCCCACTCTGAATACTGCATTAAATGTTCAGCCTATGTGCCCCCTCACTTTGGACACTAACCCTTGTCCTATAATTGGGAGGGTAACGTAATTCATCATCCAAATTGAGACTGTCCTAGACGGGTAGGGCTATGTAATTAGCGATCATGACATTTAAACTGTAATAAAACCACCTGCTGATTTGTCTCCTTCCACAACTAGACTCTGGTAAACCCCTTTGTAAGCTGTGACCTATGCCTTGTTTACCACTACGTCCTGCCTCAGTGCCTGGCATGGAGCCTGGGACCAAGCAGATGCTTACATGTTTGTTTGGATTAATGAATAAATGGGCTTGGATGTGCCGAACGCAGTTCTAGGTATTGAGCATTCTAGTCTTTAGAAATACGATCCTGTTGATTTGCTGTCTGTCTTGTCGGGTAGCATTATCACTGGAAATGTGCTTATGTGATTACCTATTACATAAAAAGAAGAAAGGGAAGAGGTTAGGACTTTCCAACCATGGAAAGTCACTGGCCAAGAAGATGACCGAGTTGTGGGACCTTCACAATCCTCCCGGTCATCCAAGAAGCTGCCTCTTCTTTCACATCTACTGGCCATCTAGGCCACGTGACTCTTCCCTTATACCCTCTGCCCTATTTGCCTCTTCCCTTTGTCCTCTTTGACAAATTAGGCTTCCTAATTGGTCTCTGCCTGGAGCATACTTAGCATACCGAAACAGTTACTAAGAAAAATGAAAATCTCTCTTTTCATTCGGATTTCCAGGTTTCCAATTCAGCGTACTGACTGCTCACTCCCAAGTGTTCAACCGTGAAAGTCAGCAGTCTTTCACCTGGAACCACCCTTCCTCAATTTGCTCCAGGTCCCGTTTTTTTTTATATCAATTCAACGGGTAACTGGGCCATCACCAGCCTGTCTCTCGGGCTCTCCCACCTCACAGAGCTTATTCCCGCCACTCTCTTGATCCAGAACAACCTTCTCTTTTCTAGCCACATACCTAGATGTTACCCGTCCTGTGAAGCCCAGTCTGTGACAAGGCCTTCTGCAGAGACCAGCTTTGACAGAAAGACCCTCTCCCTTCTCTGCACTCCCGTGACATGGACTTGGTTCCACCCTTGTATTATGTGTTTGCTTTTCAGGCCTATACCTCTCTCCCTAATTGAATTATACCAAATCCCTGCCGTGTAAGAATATTGGGTATTTTTCATTTATTATTTTTCCAGCACCCATCCTACATTAAGGATTTAGCAAAGCCTTAACTCGTTTATTTTTCTTCCTCAGTCTTGTGGTTCTAAGGAAGCATGAATGATAATACCCACAACAAACACCCACGGAAGGGCAAGGCAGTACAGTGTGGCGATGGGTACCAGAGCTGAACCTCCTTGCTTCCAAATTCGGGCTCTACCTGGCACTTACTGGATCTCGGGCAAGTTCATTTACTCTTAGTCTCTCAATGGCCAAGGACGATAAAGAAGCATTGATAGTATTTATCAGGATTGTTGTGAGGTTTCGTAAGTTAATATAAGCCGTATGCTTAAAATGGGAGCTGGGCCGCTGGATGCCATGCCTGAAGTTTGGATCTGAAGTGTCCTACTCTCCGCCGTAAGCAGATTACACCAAGCTGAGATGCGGAGCATCCACGGAGGGAGGGAGTGTCCTGGGCTCTGCATTTATCTCCATTGACTTTTGAAGCTACTTGTTGACTCGGATTCCATGTCCTGAGAACCAGTGCTCCAGACCCCCTCAACGGCCAGCGGGGATTTCTCCACAAGGTCAAGAACAAGAGTGCTGACAGTGTCCAGTGGTCCTCACAGAGGGTGCCGGCCACCTTGAGGGAACCTCTGGAGCCGTTCCTTCGGAAAGCAGTTCCGTGAACAGGAGCAACCCAGCCCCACTGCACTCGCGGCAGCTCCATTGCGCCAATCCCTGTGAGTGCAAGCCTGTTCAGGCACCAGAGGCCTCACCTTCCTCCCCTTCAGCTCTCAGAGCTGCACCCATGGCTCCAGGGTCCATACCACCCTGTCAGGGAGAGGCTGCAGGCCCAGCTAAATCTGTACTAAAACATCATCGTTGGACACTCTGCAAGTGGGGACGAGGAAGAGAAGGGACCTTGTTCCCCGAGTGTTTTGTAAGAATCCCCATAAACGCAGCCAACCCAGAACCATGAGAGACTGACTCTCCGGTCTGTGAGCCCCGCATGCCTGTAGCTGCGTCTCACTTTCCCCTTCTCGCCTTTTAGTCCTTGGAGGCTGACAGAGGTGAGAGGAAGTGGTGCTGCTCCTAAAATGAGATACTCTTTCTCTTAATTAAAACCTAACAAAACTCCAATTATAGGTTTCGTGAGTGGAATGGGCTCTGGGGTGATGGACTTAATTAACCCAAAGTTTCCTCCTCTTCCTGTCAATCTATGTAATCACAAGAGAGCAGAACGTTTTGAACATTGTTGGGCAAATCGCCCATACAGGGGCAACGATGGCAGTGAACCGATGACAGGCGGGGGTCTGGAGCTGCTTTCAATAGCACGGACACATCTTCTAATAATTTCTCAACCTGCTTGAAAATAATTGTGTTTGCATAATGCCGGTGAGAGGGGGTTGCCGAGGAGGAAATGAGAAGAGGCTTAACTAAGTGCCAGGTGCCGCCCAAGAACAGGCTGGAGCTTCCCTTCCTGTATGTGACCTGCTGGGAGCTCCTTCCATCGCATTTTGTGCTGTTTAGTAGTGCCCCGTGCGGGTGAGTGGCCTTGATTCTCCAACCTTCTGATTTGGCCAGAGACACCCAAAAGAATCCACACAGCCCTCACAAAGTCTCTTTAAAATCTCTTTAAAGGAAAAAGTATTTCCAAAAAAAATAGCATCTAGGATTTTTGGAAAGTTAATTTGAGCCCCGCTCATAAGGGAGAGCCCAAGAGAAAGAAAAGAGGATGGAATTCTTCCAATTTCTATCCATGCTGAATATGCGGCTGCAGGGCTTATTGTATATTTTAGGTGTGCATATGGTCTGGTTGTGGATATCATGCCATCTCCCTTAGGGAACTGGAATAAATTCCAAGACACTGTGAGCTGCGAGCTCACGTGTATTCCCTGAACGTAAAAGGACGTCTTGGTTCTCCGTCCCTCCTAGGGTTTACTACAATGTCCACACTCAGCCCTGCACCTGACCTACACCAGAAAACAACGGTCCAGTCCCAATCGAAGGGACACGTGTGCACGTTTCTCCATGAAACTTTCAGAGGCAGACGATCGATCGCACCCCTCCACAGAGCTGCACCAGCTGTCACGGGAACCCTGCATGTAATACTTCTATCGATCTACCCTCTCCGGGTTTTGGAACTATGGAGGGCAGAGACCATATACTACATACAGGTCTTGGCAAGTAGCCTAACATCACTGTGCTTCAGCTGTCACCCCCTGCCAGATGGAGATAAGAGAGTTCACGACGGAGGATTGTTTTAAGAATTAAATGTGTTAACGCACACAAAGCAATTCGAACCCTAAGATTAGCAGTGGCTATCGCTGTAATATTTTTTCTCAAAAGTTCACAAGGGCAAAATTGACTTCTTTTAATGAATGAATGAAAACATTTAAAAAGCAATGTGGATCCCAGCCAGCATCCTAGTTTTTCTCAAAGAAAGATCTACAAATGTAACATGGATTCCAAAGACTGTGCTATATAGGAAACAGTCTGAAAAATAAGGGGGGTAATGTACTAAGAGAAGACACACATCAGTATTCGGGGGAAAGCCAGGGAATGCAAAAGGAAGCCAGACTTCACCAATCTCCCTACACGAGAAATGGAACGACGAGGTTAGGCAGTCAAGCTTTCCCAACTGCAAGTGTGCTGGCCGGTGCTCATTCCACTGGTTCTCCCACTGGACGCCCCAGCTCTTGCTGGAGCAACCCTGTCTTCAACACTGTCCCTGTATTCTATAGGATATGTCCTTCGTCACGTGCATCCTTTAGTTTGCTTCCCACACCAAGGCATCCAAATCCCCTTTGCTATTCCTTCCACCTCTCCACGGCCTCTCTGTCCCCGGACTCATTTCCCATTAGTCTCCCTGACGCTGCCAGCAGACCATTCCAAATCCTCCTCTGCCCCAGGACAAAAGCCGCACAGATGTGGGGAGAGCTGGCACTGGGAATTCTAACAGCACCATCATCCTGTCCCAGCGGGATGGTGGTCGTTTCTCTCGGGGACCAGAGGCCGAAAAAGGGGGGTAAAGGAAAAAAAAAAGAAAGACTAGAGACAGAAAATG